ATCTCTCTCTCCCCAACTAATTCCTTTCCCTTGTTTCCATTTCGTTGCCTTTTCCCTTTTCCTTGGCCTTCCCTTTCCCCTTCTCTTTAATTTTCCTTTTCCTTTCAAGTTCCTATTCTCTTTTCCTTTTCCCTCACGTCTCTCTTTCTCGCTTTCCCCCTTCCTACGTTCTTTCGTTTTTTTCTTCTTTTTGCCGTCGCCTTTTTTCTTACTTTCTTCCTTTTTCCTTTTGTCCACTTTGTTTTTCTTCCTATTCCCTTTTCCCCATTTCTTTCCTTGTTTTTCCTTTTGTCCTCTTCGTTTTTCTTCCTATTCCCTTTTCCCCTTTCCTTTAATTCTTCACCCTTCAATTTCCTTCTCCATCCCCCTTCTAATTCCCCTTTTCTCTTCCTCCTCTATTTCTTTTCTTTATTCCTTCCCATCTCTCCCCTTCCCCTTACCCCACTCTCTCCGTTTCTCCTTTCGCCTTTCCGGTATTCCCTCCTATTTCCATTTTCTTCCCTTACCTCTTTCCCATTCTCTTTTACATGCAGTCGTTTTCATCCCCTAATGGAATCCATATTTTAACAAATAATAATCCAGGAGAAAATCCGTTGCAACCCTTCCTCCATAAAAATGGAATCTGATATGTTTATTAGAATGGCACAGTGACAAAAATATACGTTTTTATAGTAAATAAAATTAAGCTAACTCGGGCAAAACGTCGTAAGGTATTCTGACAAGCCATGCAAAAGTTTATAGGGTTAGACAATGCCATTCTTCAGCATTAGGGGAGGGGGAGGGGTTGAGTGGCCCCTTTTCTAAACACGTTTTGACACGACGTTGTTGTAGTCGATAGTGTATTTCTGGAAAATATAGCAGATAACACAAACAACTTTTATACATATTGAAGATAATGTTAATGTCCCAACACCAAATTCCAATGTATTATTTTTTTTTTTTCTCAATGTATATTCTGTGTATGATGTGTCTCAAACATTCACCAATTACCTTGTCTTGCTTAGCCTTTATAAATACAGTGTTGGCGTTTATCTACTCTTTGCTGTCACTTATGATCTGTGAATATAATAGTCAAGTTTTTTATGTTTAAATAGAATATTCCTAATTCCGTAACTTTATGAATATAGTGTTGTTTTTTTGTAGTTTTGAATATAGTATCCCTTACTGTCAGTCATGAATACGGAAACCAGAATGAGTATAGTATTTCCATCTCCATTTCATAAGTATAAGAGCTCAGAGGTTTTATATACTCATAAAGCCATAGCGTTAAAAATATATCTTCGTAAATACCATATAAATATTTCTTTCATTTTTAATAACGGTATACCCAATGTCATTTCATGAATATTGACAAGGACATAACATTGGATTTCTGTTCTCTTAAAAGGTGAATATTGTCTTTAGGTGGCTTTCATGAATATAGTATCTTACTCTTAATGCCTCTTCCACAATTACGAGAATGGTGCATCGGCTTTTCTTCTACGCAATTACATTCAAATTTATAGAAGAAGTGTATAATCATCATTCGTTCATTCAGTAAACCAAATTTACAGATTTCACAGCTTTAACAAGTGGTGTGCTTGCCTTTCATGTATATTGCTCTTGTTATTCAGATATAAAGAGAAATCTCTGACAAGTATATCATAGATTATCTTACAGTCCAATCATTTTAATTTAATTTCGTATTCGATGTATAGATCTTAGAAGGTAGTGTTGAAAAAAGTTCACAATACAATGTAATGATATTGGCCTTGTATCATACATAACAGAGGTCTTGATATTTGTTTTTTGGGTCATTGCATATGTCGAGCTAAAATGGAACTGCCTAATACACGTTCAAACTTGAAACTGTGTTGGGCATATTGCATGACCGGAAACTGGCACGGCGTCTGTATTATAACTCCATGAAGTTATGACTTAAGATCGTAAAGATAACCTGCTTGACTGCTCAGGTATACACACCTACCCAGCCGTCAGGTTATCTGATATAATTAACTTGTTGCGCAGTTCCTTATCTTTTTCATCGTCGTCTGATGTGCGATATAAAGCTGATATACTCTAGAAACCGATATACTACAAGCAGTAAGATAAAATATATGTCTATATATTATCCTTCTCTGCGATCTACCGGAAAGGTAGATTTTGGTAAACTGAAAGCAGCCTATCCTTCGTGTGGCGCCAGTGTCGCCCCGCCAGGTAAATGACCTCCCCGCCTTGGCTGTCTCGCCTTCATTGCTGAGTTAATGCTTTGCCATTGGGGCTGTGAGGCCATTCATCACATTCATGAACCTAAGTGAAGTCCCTTTCATCTGCTTATGAAGTCTCTCTCTCTCTCTCTCTCTCTCTCTCTCTCTCTCTCTCTCTCTCTCTCTCTCTCTCTCTCTCTCTCTCTCTCTCTCTCTCTCTCTCTCACTCTCTCTCTCTCTCTCTCACACACACACACACACACACACACACACACACACACACACACACACACACACACACACACACACACTCA